TGACGAAGCGGATATTGTCCTCTTTTGGAAGACCAAACAAAGTAGTTTCGCTTTCACAACGAAGCACACAGCGTCTTCACGACATGGCTGCAGTGTCAACAAAACTACAGTGAGACTAAAAGTTACGTCTTCTTTCTTTGCGTGAACATTTGGGCGGCGTTATGCAAATCTTCCCACATAGTGAGGTAGATATGTGGGGGCGTGTTAGAACAAGCCGTTTTAGGTAGGTGTGGCTGACTGAACTTTTATAAAGAATATCTCTTTGGATTTGAGACTTTAGTCTTTGCAACTTTACAGATCTTCTTTATGCACCAAGAGCTTTTAACACTCCAAAGAGAAAGGAAAAATTGAAATCGCATCATATGACCCCTTTAAATCACCATTGGTAGCGCAATTTATTGTAATGCTTTTTTCCTCAGTTGGTCAGAACAAACGTGGCAGACTTGTTACTTACTTGTTCAGATGACAATATCCGGTGAAAATGCTTATTTGAGTCATATATTCCAAGACATAGGCTAGAATCTGTGAGTGCAAAGTACAATATCCACACCGGTGCGGTGACTGACTGCCACACATACTCCTCAATTAGATTCATCCACGCTGGAGCCGTGCCACCGCACAACCCACGCAAGGAAGATAATTCCGCACACAGCTGCAATTGCAGGTTTTCAAACAGAGATGGCGACAAAGAGGTGAAACTTACGGACTGCAGCTTTAAATACTCTTCTCCCATAAATTTTACGCCTGAAAGGGAAACTCTGTGTCCACGCCTTTCTATCACTCATTTTCAGTCTCTTTATTAAATCATGATGCATTGGCGCAAGCAGTTGGTAAATCTGGCCCTAATTGTGCAAAATGTTTCACAAACTGAAAGATGTGTTTGTGCTATTATTTCACAGAAAGAGTTTTATCATGTTTCGATTTTTTTTCACAATTTATATACTTTTAAAATGTAGGGGAGAAACGGATGTTTTCAATTTTGTCACATATTAATGAATCATGTTCATAATGTCTGCTAAGGTTGGAACTGACTTTAAACGGTACATCCATTCAAATGACTTAACAAGAGTTGGTTAAAAGTAATTGCACAAAAAGTCTAACACAGCCAGTGGGGCCACATGCCAAGCACATGAATAAACAGCAGAGGGCACCATCTAATCTATAAACATAAGCTTCACGTCATAAAACATAGTAAAATCATTTGATGTTACAGTTACCTAGTTCTTTACAGATTTGTGCTCTACAGTTTGTGCTGAAAGCATTGAATATCAAAAGACATGCATGATCACATGGCCTTCATTTGATTTGGATCGGATATAGTGAGAACATAATGTCAGCTATCAGCACTCCTGTGTTCACAGCCCTTGAGACGGGCAGTCGGATTAAAACAGAGCTCACTGTCCCTCAGACCACCTGTCCATGTGTAAAGTGACGCGAAATGCACAGACTCTGGGCAACATGCTGCTGTGTGAATTGTTCTCCATTTTCATTCTTAAAAATAAAGATTCTTTGTCAGGGTGTACAGTTCCATGAAGAATCTTTAAAATCCACGGAACTTTCCCACTGCACAAAAGTTCTTTGTAGTGGAAAAGTGTTCTTTAGGCTATAAAAAAATTTTTCACAGTAAAACGTGGTTCTTCTGTGGGATTGCTGCATAAAGCCATTTTTTTGTTCATCCTGGCACTTTTAATTTTAAGAGTATAATACAGAGTCTAAAGAGGGGTGGCGATGTCAGAACCGCCCGATTTGGTGCCTATAACACCTGCTTCTGTCAGAATGCATCCTGCCATGACCTCATGTCACTGGAGACACAAGGTCAGATACTGCGCCACAACACTGAAAAAACAAGTCTTCTGAAAAGACACGATTGCTTTATATGATGACTAGATGTTAGGCTTTTATTCACATATAAACTTTAATCAACGCACATACATAGAGCTCATCAGATATGATAAACAGAAGCTCGCTTGTGTGACACAAACTTCATTGGCTCCCGCACATCAAACAAGCATGTTTGCAAAAAAGCCTAAATTAAATCTGTGCATATAAAGCGACTGCATTTCTTCAGAAGCCTATAAAATACTCGATTCATATGGATTTACTCACCCTCAAGTCATTCCAAACCTGCATAATTTTCTAATGTTGTTGCTCATTGGTTCTTGTTTGACTTGTTACTGATGACAAATTGGTCACAGCCCACTATATTTGAATGTGAGCAAACAGGAATATTTTCAGTTATTTTCAATGTTGGTCTGTTCCACACACAAAGTTTTTATATTACTCATATAGCACACATGTTGCATAGAATATGTTATGACATTTTAATGTCAGTTTTGGACCTTGACAACCCCGTCACCATTTACTTTCATTGTACGAAAATAGAGCAGCCAGAACATTATGCTAAACATCTGCTTTTTGTGTTCATGAATTCAGAATGACGACATGGTGTTCAATTCAATTCAAGTTTATTTGTATAGCGCTTTTCACGATACAAATCTTTGCAAAGCAACTTTACAGTAAATTAAGTTTCTACAATATTTAGTGGTAGCTTATCAGTGGTGACTGTCAGTTAATGTACATATGGCAGAAATGTATGGAAAAATCAATTAAAGATGTAATCAAACAGACGATGAACACTATTAACAGCAATTATTATATGATGCAATCAAACTTATAGCAAAATTTGGTAGTTCAGTATGTTGTTTCATGGTTGGCATCATCTGATGTCCTCTGAGTGTACCTTCGATGATCCAATTCAACCATACTAATAAGCAAAATTTACACAAGATAAGCTAACATTTCTTCTTCTTTTTTATTGCTGAAGAGTGTTGAACTTTCTTCTTCTTCGTTCTGCTGTACAGACGTGAATTTACATTTCCTTCAGCTTAAGGCTTTTGGTGTGAAAGGGCTTTTACGTTGGAAAAACAAAGCTACACGGACCTACAATCACAAACCAGCACTGCAAACAGGAAGCAGGAATAACACTGTCCAACCTGAACCCCAAACGTTATCAGGAAGACTATTCCAGAGTTTGGGAGCAAAATGCGAAAAAGCTCTACCTCCTTTAGTGGACTTTGCTATCCTAGGTACTACCAAAAGTCCAGAGTTTTGCGACCTTAGGGAGCGTGATGGATTGTAGCGTGGTAGAAGACTAGTTAGGTATACAGGAGCTAACCCATTAAGGGCCTTATAGGTAAGAAATAATATTTTGTAACTGATACGGAACTTAATAGGTAGCCAGTGCAGAGACTGTAAAACTGGGGTAATATGATCATATTTTCTTGACCTGGTAAGGACTCTAGCCGCTGCATTTTGGATTACCTGTAGCTTGTTTATTGAAGATGCAGGACAACCACCTAGCAGTGCATTACAATAGTCCAGTCTAGAGGTCATGAATGCATGAACTAGCTTTTCTGCATAAGAAACAGG